GAGCTCCTCGATTCAAGGGATTTGAATACCGAAAGAAAGTCAACAATTTAGTCTCAAATTGGCCTCCATTTTTGGTATTGCAAATGGAATTTGAAAACTTGGTTAATTATATTAATGGAATCTTCAAATTTCTGCCCAATCTGCCTCTCACTCCATTTGGTTGTCTGAATTAAACTAAATATTAAATCTCAAATTCTTGTTTGGGTTTATCCAAATATTAAAAAAATAAATAAATTGGAATCTAATTCACTCAAAAACAGTAAAGTACTCGAACCCACAACATATGGAAAAAATGTACAATGTTTGTCAAACCCAAAAGCAGATTCTAAAATTTAAATTCATACATTTCAAAAAATAAAATAAAATATATTTGGTTCCTTTTCTCCTTCTTGAAGGAAATGAAATCTTTTAGGGGAGAAAAAGAAAAAGAAAAAGAAAAAGGTTTTAAAAATTTGTGATGCTTTGAAGGTTGGTCTCCTCTCCTGGAGAAGACCTTGCGGGTTGGGCCCGGAAAAGCGGAAAAGCCCAATGAGATTGAAAATTGAATTAGTTTGAAGGAAGAAAGGAATCCAAGGTGACTTGTGGGTGGAAACTACTTCCGGTATCCGGTAAAAAAGATAGGAAAACCGTCTGGGACCCACTAACCCCACCTCCTCTTGCATTAAAAGCTATTAAAGGTCAACTCTATCCCACTGTCTCCAACTAATAATATCTTGTCCTTTTCTCCTCTCTCTCTCTCTCTCTCTTCCTGATTTTACCCGCTCCTTAATCCAACGGCTATTCTCACCCTTTTGACCTTTCTTTCTCTCCCTCTCTCTCTCTCTCTCTCTCTCTCTCAAATTTGAAACCCACCCTGTAAATGGGCCTTTCCTAAACAGAAGAGTCAAATGTACTGACAATTTCTATTACGTGGAGCCTTCTAATTGGTTGGAGTGTTTGACGGCAGACCGACCAGAATCAAACCGGTCAGTTGCCCGATGCCTTGCATAGTGAGGGCATCAGTTTGACTCCAATCCTTTCCTTCCCCCAATTCTTTTATCATCTTTTTCCTCTTCTCTTTCACCACTTTCTTCTTCCCAATCCCCTCCCTCTCCTTCTCTCTTTTCTAACAATTTCACGTTTTTTTCTTTCTCGGTATAAATACTCTTCTCCTTCCTCCTCTGCTTTCATTTCATATGCTCCTTCTCAACAATAACATGGCCGTGGAGCTCATGGTGGGGTTTGGGGATGCTACCACCGCTACTAATTTCACGCCCAAGTTGGAAGAAAATGCCGCTGTTTCTGCTGTTCAAGAAGCCGCTTCTGCTGGGATTCAGAGCGTCCAGAATTTCCTCCGATTGATGTCCCATACCCCTAATCAACACCACTCCCAACACGATTCTTCCACCTCCACGACTCCCAATGCTATCGCTCCATACGATGCCGTCGCCGATTCCGTCGTCAGCAATTTCAAGAAGGTCATTTCTTTGCTCGATCGGAATAGAACCGGTCACGCCCGCTTCAGAAGGGCGCCGGTTCTTCATACTCCCCCGCCGCCTCCTCCACCGAAGGTCAAGCCGTTGCAGCACCAAGATCCGAGTTCGTCATCAGCCCCTCAGGTTCAAGTAAAGAAACAGGAATCAGTCTCTGCTTTTAAGGTTTATTGCCCCACGCCCTCCTCTGTTGTGCGTTTGCCTCCTCTGCCTCACAACAACCCCCATCAGCCTTCTCATCCACCGAATACGTTCCAAGCACAGCAAAATACTTCGTCGGTGGTACTAAAAAATGGGTCTGTAGATAGAAAAGATCCGACTACCACCATCAACTTCGTAGCATCGCCCCCGATTTCCGCTGCAAATTCCTATATTTCTTCTCTAACCGGAGACACCGAAAGCTTACAGCCATCTATGTCATCTGGGTTCCAGTTCACCCACATGTCCCAGGTCTCTTCCGCCGGAAAGCCCCCACTTTCAACCTCCTCGCTAAAGAGAAAATGCAATTCTATGGACGATTCCGCCATGAAGTGTGCCTCATCCTCCGGTCGGTGTCACTGTTCCAAGAAGAGGTTGGTCCTTGCAACAGATAGTAAAAAAAAATCCATACAAGATTTTCTAAATTGGGTTGTAGACTATATTCGATTAGTCATTGAATTGTGAAATTTGTTTGGTTTAGCAGGAAAAACAGGATAAAAAGAGTCATCAGAGTTCCGGCGGTGAGCTCCAAACTTGCGGATATCCCACCGGACGATTACTCCTGGAGAAAGTACGGCCAAAAACCCATTAAAGGCTCTCCCCATCCAAGGTGTGTAACTTTTTACTTCGGATCCTCCTTCGTTTGTTGAGTGTGTGGTGAAGTTAACTCGTTCTAAGAACTCGGTCATTTAGTGGGGCAGAACATAACAACTCGTTGACCTTTGTAGTCCGTTGTTTCCCAAGCATAACAATATATTCGGGAAAAGAGTGTAGTGTATGATTTGTTTTCCTTTTTTATAATGTCAAAAAGCAAATAAATTAAAAGTGGGGGAATGGGTTTGGGTGGAGTAGAAGGGAGGACTGACGAAGGTTATTTTGGTAAATGAACAGGGGATATTACAAATGTAGCAGTCTGAGAGGCTGTCCAGCACGGAAACACGTAGAACGTGCCTTAGACGATCCAACAATGCTGATTGTAACTTACGAAAACGATCACAATCACGCCCACTCCACCGAAACACCTGCAACGCTTGTTCTGGAATCGTCATAATAGTCAACTCATCCAACGCCCACAGATCTCCATCAATATTATATAAATAAAATTATAGGGAACCAATGGTCAACGCTGCGGCTTGAGCACCGTCTCCAAGAAGATTAGTAGGTGCGCTGCGCGGCGCTGTGCTGTGCTGTGCTGTCTATAGAAAATTAGGAACGCCCCCCTTCGGTGTTTTCCTCTTCTCTGTGTGTCCCCTCTCTTATGAAGGTTTTTGTGTTCTTGGGATTTGGAAATTTGAAGGGTGTGGGATTGGGAGAGAGGAAGAGCATGGGACGGTGGGATTTGGTGGGTGTTGAGTCACGCTACTAGTGGGCCTTTTGTTCTCTTTTATAAACTTTCTTATGCTCTCCAATATTATTATTCCTTCACCATTTTTTTCTCTTTTTCTATCATATTGGATTGCATGGTGGATCTATTTTATTATATGTATAAACAACAGACAAAAATCCCGCCTTTATTCCTTCCCAATTCCCATTCCCACCCAATTTTTATTCTTCTTCGTAAATTTCCTGTTTCAATCCAATGGGGTTTTTGGATTGTCGTTTGCAGAGAAGTTCGGTGGTCAGATCTGAATACAGAAAGGCAGAGATTCTGTGTCCGCCCTCTGCACTGCCGACGTGTGGTTTCAGTTATTCACATCCCTGAGGTTCACTTTCCTTGGGCTCATTGGCGTTGGCCCAAACCCCATATGGGGCGAGAGAATTATCCATGATCCTTTTAATTCTCTGTGGCCTTATCTGCCCATCAATCATGTATCATTGTCGACATTACACGTCGCGGTTGGAGATGAGAATGAAGTATTACTTATAAGGGTGTAGAAACCTCTTCTTAGTGAATGGATTTTAAAACTTTGAGGGGAAGCCTGGAAAGAAAACTGAAAGAGGACAATAGTATTACTTATAAGGGTGTGGAAACCTCTTCCAAGTGAATGCATTTTAAAACCTCGAGGGGAAGTTGAGGAGGAAAAGTCGAAAAGGACAATATCTGCTAGCAGTGAGCTTAGGCTATTACAAATGGTATTAGAGTTAGACATTAGACAGTGTGCCAGCGAGAACGTTAGGCCTCCCTCCTCGAAAAGGACAATATCTGCTAGCGGTGAGCTTAGGCTATTACAAATGGTATTAGAGCTAAACATTAGGCAGTGTGCCAGCGAGAACGTTAGGCCTCCAAAGAGAGTAGATTTTGAGATCCCACATTAGTTAGAAAGGGGAAGGCTGGAAGGACGCTAGGCCTCCAAAGGGAGGTGGATTATGAGATTCCACGTTCGTTAGAGAAGAGAACAAAACATTTCTTATAAGAGTGTAGACTCCCCTTAAGAGAAAGTTAGGAAGAAAAAGTCCAAAGAAGAGAATATCTATTAGCGGTGGGTTCACTTGAAGCCATTTGATGTGTATAATCCATACCATCTTCCTTATTGACTATGGGAAGCCCAATGGGAAGGCCAAGTTTTGCATAGATCTTTAATGGCTATGATTGGTTCATCAATCACATTGCAATTGACAAAATTCAGTCTTCATTATGGATGTAATTAAATCGTCACTCATGTCTATGCCTTTTCAAAAAGAATACAATAAAGGAGCTGATTTTTAATGTGTATCGAGACAATGAGTTCTTGTTCCACTAAGTCGGATGCCCAGCTGTATCCAAATATCGCAATCATATTTATCATCTTAAGATAATGGAATCCAATGGGCAGAAAAGTGACTTCAAAATAAAGAAAAATAGTTGACTTCCGTAGCACCTATCCCGATCCTTCAATACAAGACTGCTGTTCTTTACAACTCAGAGGATAATGTATGATCTTATAAATGATTTAACAAATCATGGTCCGAATGCCAAATTAAATACTATTAATTAATCAGACCCGTACGAGCTCACTTTATAGAACTAAAGAGGCAGATCAATATGTAAGAAGGCAGATTAGAAAATGAAGTTGTCATGTCATATCTTCAATCTGATGAGCGTCTATTGGGATGGTGGTCTTTGTGCATTCCCACGCTTCATTATAGTTTTTTATATCATTACCATTTGGCTTCTGTTTTCAGTGTTGGTTGGGACTTCAAGTATTGGACCCATTTGTTGTATAGTTGGGATCTTTCGTTTGTACTGTAACTTATCTTTTTTTAGCTTTTGGTTTTGTGCCTATGCCTACTAATTTGCAAACCCATACCTGCTCTGCTTGAACCTAACGAGGTTTACAGCATTCCCTCTTCTTTTGGCCAACTTTTAGTTTCTTATATAAACAGGCTGTGTTTATGAAACTTGGTCTGATTTTCACTTCTATGCTTATAGAGTTCTGAATAACTACAGAGCAAACAATTTGTTGGGTTGATAAGAATGAGTAAAATACCTGGCAGAGTTTTGCTGTTTCTGTTCTTCAACCTGCTTTCTTCTTTGGTTGTCCACGCCATAGCCAACAGTAGCGACAGCAAAACGCAAGATTTCAAAGTAGAAGGCTGTGATCACGGCTGGTCTCACTGTAAGCAAGCGATAACTCCTCAGCCATCATCTCTTTTGCCTGTTGAAGCAGAGGTTTTGATATTTGAAGACCTGAGGCTTTCAGTGGTGTACCCTGTGATTCAAAAGTTCAAGTCAGTTATCACCTCGGATCCTCTAGGAATCACTAAAACATGGGTTGGATCGGATATATGCAAATACAAAGGCTTTTACTGTGACAACCCACCGGACAACAAGTCTGCCACGGCGGTCGCATCTATTGATTTCAATGGCTTCCAACTCAGTGCACCATCCCTCGATGGCTTCCTCGATCAGCTCCCTGACATTGCTGTTTTTCATGCCAATTCCAACAATTTTGCAGGCACCATCTCCACAAACATTACCAGGCTCCCTTACCTATACGAGCTTGATGTGAGCAACAACCGATTGTCTGGTCCTTTTCCCGCTGCTGTTGTTGGTCTAAACCGCCTCACCTTCTTAGACCTTCGGTTCAATTTCTTTACTGGGTCAGTCCCACCTCAAGTCTTCGTCCAGGACCTTGATTTTCTCCTCATCAACAACAACAATTTCATGCAGAGTCTCCCAAACAGTCTTTCCACCACCCATATTCTCTACCTCACATTAGCCAACAATAAATTCAGTGGTCCAATTCCCGGTGGGATAGTAAAAGCTTTGTCATCTCTGACTGAGGTTCTTCTCTTAAACAACTCATTATCAGGGTGTCTGCCTTATGAGTTAGGATCACTTGACGAAGCAATCGTGTTTGATGCCGGCAGCAATCGACTAACAGGACCACTGCCCTTTTCCCTGGGTTGTCTAAAGAACGTGGAGCAGTTGAATTTCGCAGGAAATCTACTGTATGGTATGGTGCCGGAAGTCATTTGTGCGCTTGGAAATCTGGTAAATCTATCTTTGTCGGACAATTATTTCACAGTTGTTGGGCCTCTGTGTCGGATTTTGATAGGAAGAGGTATATTAAATATTAGGAACAATTGCATTCCAGATCTGCCTTTCCAGAGACCAATTGTTGAATGTGCAAAATTCCTAGCATTTCCGAGAATCTGCCCTCGCATGTGGTCTTACACTTTCATGCCCTGCATGCTTCCCCCTTTTAATCCCCCAATTTCTTTCATTCCCAAATACTGGCCACATTTGCCCTAGTTTTATACATTCCGAGCCTCATCTCGGAAGCGCATTGTCTGTGTTTTTCAATTGTAATTCCAAGAACATTCTCAGTTAAATCTTCCATCAATCCCACAGCAAGGGGAACCGGATTTATACACTACAATTCATTATCGTTTCCTAATTCAGACCATTTCCCGTCGGCACTATGGCATTAGTATTGTGGTTTAACGCTAATCAAGCAGATGTGTAGAGATACCTGTCACGAAAATAAACATCACCGGAGAGAAAAGAGGCGGATCCACCATGGAAGAAAGCTAAATGCTGTGGAAGCTTTGCGGGTCTCTAACCTTCCGAAGACAAGCGCATAGGGGCAGAAGATAAGAAATTTGTGCATGGGCGGTGGGGTGTGCGCCTGCGCGCGCCCAACTTCTGTTGTTTTCCACTACGTTGGGATTAGTGCTTCGGGTTGGGTATCGATCATCATAAATCATTGTTTTCAAATACTAATTACAGTATTTAATTTATCAAACACATGATATAAATGTTTAATTCAATAAACAAATAAATAAATAAATACTTGAAATGGATCTGATATTAATTAATTATATTACTTGAGTAAATAAAAAACAGTGCTTTCCCAATTGTTAGAAATAATTTTGCGAATTATCATATAAATAAAATCCCAAATGCCGTTCCGCCACGACATATCGAGTACGCGCGCGAGAGAGCGAGAGAGCCCTGGGGGTGCTTATAGAATCTGCTAGAACCATCTAGCGATGGTGTGATTTGGAAGCATATTTCCATTACAAAACCGATAATCAATCAAAAAGGAACTGTGCCCTGGATTTCTCAAGCTAAATTTGCCGATGATACTATGGATTGTTCGAAGTCGGACATGATGGAGACTGAATTTGCGTCAAATAGAGCCGGCGAAGGCGATTCTGTTCGCGACTTGCTCACATTGGCTCGGCAATTCATCGATCAACGAAACCCTACCCAAGCCCTCCAAGCGGTATGTTTACAGAAAAAATGAAAAAACTTCCCTCACTTGGAATTCATGGTCTGTTTTCTTCTTTCGAAACTTTTCTGCGATGTCTTATTTATATTTAGCTTCTGGGTTTTCTTTGATTCTGTAAATTAAATCACTTCAGTTGAGTTCCGGTTGCCAAAGGGGATTGAAAATTCGCCAATAGGGCTTTCCTCCTCGCTTGAACCATTGGTAAAAGACTTCCAACTTCTTGTCAAGCCGAATTTTCAGAAGATAATTGTCATCTGTACATTTCTAGTAGTTGGGTTTCGCTGTTATTCTTTCGTAAAATTATTAAAACACCTGCTAAAGACTCCAATTTTCTTTGAAGCTAGACTAGAAAATGGCATCACATCCTGGAGCTTTCTTATTCTCAGTGTTAAGGATAGCTTGCTTGATTTCCATCTCTGGAAATACAATCCTGAAGTTAAAGTGGCATATCTTTCATTGTAATAATAACTCACAGGAAGGTCTGAAGCTCAAGAAGGAAGGCAATTTGCAAAATCCCCACCCACCCACCCACACATATAAAAAGGAAAGAAAAAAAGGGTGAAGAATGAGAACGAAGAACTCAAGTGCCTGAAAGAAGAGGAATCTCATTCAATTCAAATGTTTCATTTAGTGGTTGTACTTGAAATAAATAAATTGAAAAAAAATATCCCAATTATGATAAATGTAACGGCCAATAACTTTGTCGTACAGCACTGACAAAAATAAAAGCGGCACGGACCCCAGTTTATGGTAGAGTAGGTTTTTTTGTGGATCATAGTAGTATTAACCTCTGTAGGAATTAGTTTATGATGTTATTCTTATAGAATTCTTAGGATACCTCCCAAAGAGTAACCTTTCTTACGTCCCTATTTTCTTTCAAGCAAGTCTCTAACAAGTAAGAAGTATGAAGCCATCACCTTCCTTTGCCTTTTCATGCTCGATGTTAAAGATAGCTTGCATGGTCTCCATCACTGAAAATGACCTTCCTGAGTCGCCGACTACCCCGACTGCTCAAAGTACCAGGCAACCAGCAAACTATTGACCTGAAATCTCTGTCATTGACCTTCAAGTGGTGAAAGTCCATTTATTTCTAATATTTACAGAATCCGCTTTCATATATATATATATATATATATATATACGGAAACAGCTGGTCTACCTTTATCTGTTTCCATTTTACATACAGCTCCCAAGTCTCTCTCTTAGATGTTTTTGTCATTTGATATTTTGGTGTGTTGGAATGATTGTATTAAGCAAGCTGTAGTCAAATTCCCTTCTGCAAACAGGGAAGTTTTTTTGTGGCAAGCTAGGCTATGTGCTATTATGTGGAGACTTTTGGGAAAGGAAAAATAGAATTTTTTTGAGAGCTTGAGAGACCTCAAGTGAGGTCTGGTTCTTTGTTAGATTCTATATTTGAGATCTCACATCGGTTGGAGAGGGGAATGAAGCATTCCTTATAAGGGTGTGGAAACCTCTCCCTAGCAAATGCGTTTTAAAACCTTGAGAGAAAGCCCGAAAGGGAAAGCCGAAAGAAGACATATCTGTGAGTGGTGGGCTATCAGAGTCAAACACCGAGTGGCGTGCTAGCGAGGACGTTGGGTCTCTAAGGGGGTTGGATTGTGAGATCTCACATCGGTTGGAGAGGGGAACAAAACAATCCTTGTAAGGGTGTGGAAACCTTTCCTCCTAGTGGACGTGTTTTAAAACCTTGAGGGGAAGCTTGGAAGGGAAAACCCAAAGAGGACAATATCTACTACCGGTGGTCTTGAGCTGTTATAAATGGTATTAGAGCCAGACACCGAGATGTATGCCAACAAGGACATTGGGCCCACGAGGGGGTTGTATTATGAGATCCCACATCGGTTGGAGAAGGGAACAAAACATTTCCTATAAAGGTGTGGAAACCTCTCCCTAGTGGACGCGTTTTAAAACCTTGAGGAGAATCCCATAAGAGAATGTCCAAAGAGAACAATATCTGCTAGTGGTTGGGCTGTTACAAATGGTATCAGAGTCAGACATTGAGCGGTGTGCCACTAGGACATTGGGCCCCCAAGGGGGTTAGATTTGTGAGATCTCACATCGGTGGAGAGGAAAACGAACCATTCCTTATAAGAGTGTGGAAACCTCTCCCCTAGTGGACGCATTTTAAAACTTTGAGGGAAACCCTGGAAGGGAAAGTCCAAAGAAGACAATATCCGCTAGAGGTGAGTTTGGGCGGTTAGACTATATGTCCTGTGAGCTTCAGTAACAAAATCCAATTGTTAGTTAGGGTTTATTTCTTTAGATTGGTGGCCCTTTTTGTAGTTTGCCTTCCTTTTTTAGGCTCTCTTATTGTATGCCCTTGTAATAGTTATTCTCTTATCCATGAAAGTTAAAATATTCATTAAAAAAATCAAGTTGTAAATTAAATTTCAATCGGCATTCTCATAAATCTGTTGTCACGAGCTGATTGCAGTGGTCTATTTCTCAGAACTAAAAACCTACTGTAGAGTGTCTCTTGTTCAAAAAGAATTAAAAAAACTACACTTGGGTTTTATTTGCCAACGTTGTTTTAAAACCAACAAAGAATTGGTCTATAGCGTTTGAATGTGTTAGAACTTTCTGTTCATTGATCTAAATGTGTTTTCAACCTATATTTATTAATTGTATCTTACTTTTTTTTTTTTTTTCTTCTTTGAATACCAATTGTATTGATATTACTTATTATAACCATGAGCTTTCTACCCCATGCTGATTGAGACAGATGTTGGTGAACTTATGTTGTTTCGTAGCTTTTAGAACCTAGAGGAAAGGATAATACACATTTATGTAGTTGTAGTAGTCAGCTCAGATGCCTCAATCAACATGTTTAAATCATGGGTGGGGCATATGAGATAATCTGTTAGAGGAAAGATTAAGGACTACAACTTTTGTTAGTAGCTTTCAGCACCTTGTTTTTCATGTTTGAACAGGTTGTAATGGCAATGAGAACCCAAGGTGGGGATGCAGCAGTCTTTCAATCCTTGCACCGTGCCCGTGAGATGTACAGAACCCGATTTCAGGAGACTGCTGATGTTGATCAACTAGCTTCTTTATTTGCAGAGTGTGCCATAGCTGAAGCCCAGCCTCTGAACCCTGAACCTACAGATAGTAACAATGACATATCTGGCTCTTTGGTTGTGGATGCTCACGGTAATTCTATTCTGGCAGAAACTGGTAGGATGCAAATTGTTATGGATGCATTCTCAGACGGGAGCAGTTTTATTTGTTTGCAATGTGGGGGTCTTGTTAGTAACCATCGCAAAGATGAGCATTATGCATATTGGTGTGCCCGGATCTAACCTGTATTCGGGAACCAATCTTCATTCTTGTCTTGCCTGGCGAAAAAGAATCCTCCAAAACTTGTAGTTGTGTCTTTTGATTTGTACATGGCGCAGCTGCTTTTATGTTGGCACGCCCCTAGTTGTTGTCAATGCTAGTCAAGCTAAGGTTTTAAACGATGTAGCCGATTGTTGTAAGTGGGTTCTCCCTTGAGTAGCTTTCAACATCTTCCTCCGTACAAGTGAGAAGAAAAGTATAAACATGATCAATATGATTTGCAAAGATCATTTGGATTCACAAGTTTTCATTTTGGAAGGGGCAACGTCCACCCTCATAACTCCCTTTTGTTCCCATTCAAATCGTGTTTTAACATACTTGATCATGTTCTCTCATATTGTGTTTATATTCAGTGTTTCATGATCTGTTGACTGTTTTAGAGAAGATCTATCAGAGGGATGCAAATATTCGACTCACAGTTTTAAAATTAGAGAGAAATTTTCGAAATTTTCACTCTTATAAGAAATGTTTCATTCAGACTGTTCGTCCAAAAATTTTCTCTCCAAATGGACTCTATTCACTAATGGCTAGGTTTCAGTCATATCAGTCAGTCTCTATTCATCTGAAAGAAGAGGGAACAGATTCAAAGAACAGGGAACAGATTCAAGCAAACTGGTGTAGACCTTATAAAGTTTTTGATTCAAGATGCTTCTTTTGCTTCAATACAAATACATTTACAAAGATTCAGTCATATCAAGTAATAAGATTAGTGTCACACAAGAAAGTCAACATATTAGAAAAGAATTCTGTTTTTTTTTTTTTTTTTCCTCTCCTCCAACCTAATAGTTCCTTTCAACAAATCAATAATGTCCTCAAAACAAAGAAAAACCAAATGACTA